GTTAGTTAAAAAGTGTGTAGGTGTGCTGCACATGGACATGATTTAGTGGTGGACTTGGCAGTGCTATGTTTATGGTTGGACTTGATCTTAAAGGTCCTTTCTAACCTAAATGATTCTATTATTCTATGATTCTGTAATAAGATATACTCTTTACCTTAGGATCCACTGTTCACGGATCACCTGAATGCAACCTTTCTCATTGGCAATGTTTACAACAATTATGCTAGTAACACTTACTTTCGTATATAACAATTATAGGTTCCCACTGTGGTTATTTAAACTGTCATATCTGTCAACAAGCAAAATAAGTCTCATTTGGTGCCTTTCCAGTGTAAACAATATAAAAATAGGACAATCTTAATACAGTTGTGGTTGTATAGGACCTCTGAAGCTCATGTGGTTTAACATCATGTCCAAAGCATTGCCAACTTGAAAGTTACATTACATTGCTCAGCACCTTGTCAGGTTTTAGTATCTCCAAGTATGCAAAAACTACCACCTCACTGGTCAATCTGCTTCAGCACTTAACAAGCCTCACTGTAAAAACTATTTTTGTTTATATCTAATGAGAGTTGCAATCTGTGGTCCTTATCTCGTGTCCATGTTGTAGAAGAGTCCATCTCTGCCTTTCCTCTTTCCAACTTAGTGGCCCTGTGCTAGGCTTATTCCAGTTTGTTAATGTCTTTCTTGTATTGGGGACTCCAAAACTGGACACAGTAGTCCAGACACAATTTCAGAAGTGTTGAAAAAGTGGATATAATCACTGTTCTCAGTACTTGCACTACGTAGTCGCTAATGGAGTGCAGTACATGGTGAGCCCTCACTGTTGCAAGGGAGCATGGTTGACTCACGTACAACTTGTCGTCTACCAACAACCCTTAAGTGCTTTTTGTTAGGGCAGCTCCCCAGACAATTGGTCTCTCTCAGTTCTTTACTTTCTGATCTTTTCTGTCAAATCACTTCCTCAGCTTTTTGAGATTCATCTGAATGGCAACCTTATTATCCAGCATATTGACTGCTCCCTGCAATTTGGTGTCAACCTCAAACTTGCTGACAGTATGTTCCTTTCCATATAATTACAAACCAACAAATGACACCACTACCATTTTGTCTGGTAGAGCCAATATACTAGTTTCCCAGGTAATGAAAAGCAAAAGATTGTTCTAAAGGAGCACTCCACTAGGGACTAGGGTAGGAGTTAAGTGACTATGAGGAAGGAAGATCTGAATTTAAATAGGAAAATGATGTTTTATATAAAAGCAGACAATGACAGTTGCTCTGGTCAGCAATTACTTGAGACTGCCAGTGGACAGAAACAATTAATGTGCACACAAATACCCTTCGATCTGGCAGTATTTCCACCCATTCTCATCTTACCCCCTGTACCCGGAAATGCCAAAACAAATACGTGCTTTAATGTTAGTGCAGACAATAATCTTTTAATCTTTATCCAATACTGGGTAAAAGCATGAATTACAGAGCTATCTTTGTCTCCTTCTTTGACTTTTACACTATAGGATTGATGTAAAGAAGCCATAGCACGAACAGGAACTTGGCCCAATACTTTTTTTTACCCTGATGGAAAAATCAATAGGCAAGATTCCATCTTCGTTATAACAATGTCAATCTGGAGACACCTCAGTAGCCAGCTGAGTTTATTTTGTTGCTGGAGATTAAGATCAAGTCTTACTACAACTGGATGCGTCAATCATTGGCAGAGAGCCTTTGTACCTGGCATTCGCATGGACTGCAAATTCACATATAAGGAAAAATACATACAAAACTCATTTCAGACTATTTTTTCTCTTCCAGTACAAGAAGAAAGAGGAAATAAAAATGGAACACAAGCAAACAACTTCCCTCTTGGAAGAATGTGCACTTGACAAATGCGTTGCTCTATCTGGTCACTATTTGAATTTTATAATACCTGTGACGGTGAGTCACCTTGTCCTATCAGGAAGCAGAAGAGCTATAAATCACCCACCAGTGAAGAACCCTGATCATTTCCACAACCACCTGAAGAAGGACGGAAGAAACTTCTGATCTTCCTGGAAACAAAAGGTAGGATTTACATTGATTTGTTTGCTTAAAATATTGCAATTTTTTTCATGTATTAAAATGCAATCTATTGTCAGAAGACTTATTGAACAATTTAGGACAGACACAGGAAGAGGATTTTATTCAGCGAACAATAAGGATCACACAGGCAATAGTATAACACAAACTGAAAAAAAGAGAGAGAAAATTGATGAACAATCAAAACCAGATGAAAAGCCTCCTATATTCAAAAAGCAGTATCTTGGCAGATTATATGTACATAAAGAAAGAGACAGAGACAGACTGAACATATTGAATTGGATATATATTCAGTTCAGTATACTCTATTGCTATATGTAGCTACCACCACTTATTCCCAGAGTGGAGAAATTACCACCTTGTGCAACTTACCACTCTTGTGCAAGATGGCTGCTAAGTAGGACTTTGTGCAACAATGCTGTACAAGTGAAACGACAGCTTGTATTATTCCATTTCAGATCCTTTTTCAAGGATAATAAAAAATAAGGGGGATGGTCTTTTCTAATAGATATTTAATTATATGAATAATTTAGGATAGACTTTTTTTTTTTTTTTAGGAGGAGAGTTAGGAAAAATATATTCACACAAGTTTGCTAAACTCATACAAACTAGGGATGCTAAAGCACCATCTTTCAGTGGCAGATCCCTGTACACAGATGGAGTTGCAGGAAAGTCAGTAAGACTTGGCACGTGTCCTGATTTATGTTTGATTGAGGGGGAGCAGGGGAGGGGGACAGAGAGACTGATTTTAGGACCAGTGCCTAGAAATTAATGCAGAGCAATTAAATTTACATCTCATAAACTATAAGCATTTGGTTGAAATCAGTGGGATTGCCAAAAGTATGTTAATATCTTGGAGCAGGAAACCCACTGGGTCTTAAAAAGCATTCCAATGGCATTTTGAAACTTGTATCATGTATTAAATTACCAATTATATTTAATTGTAAGTTAATTCATAGAAAATATTACAGTGAATGAATACTTTGCCCATATCTTTAAGTTAGCTTCTTTGATTTGGTTTGCAAAATAGAAAATGTCACAATTTCAGTGAAGAGTTATTTTTTCCTTTGAAACAAATAATTTGTTTTTACACATTTTAGGTGCAAAAAGGGTTGTTTTATATTTGCATATCATCACATTTTGCACTCAAAAGAATTATTTTTGCTTGTAACTTGAGTACAACTAAAAATAACCCCCACCTCAATTTACTTTCTAGTTAGAAATTAAGAGAAAAGAATAATTTTTCACGTTATTTGAAGTATAATCTTTTATTGCTAAACACCTAGGTCATATACACTGCAAAGTTTTGTAACAACTCTGAGAACTAAGTGGTAGAAAAGTTAATAAGAAAAAACTTCTGGGATCCTAAAGCACTTCAAGGAGGCATAGGTGATGTCAAAATTAAACATAAATGATATAAATCAATACCAAGAGCAGGAAATCAATGACTTACATTGTTAATTACAGGTATGTTTTTCCCCTGGATCAACTAGATATTCCCTCAACTAAAAGTGCTTGGACTAAACCACCCTATTTTGAAGGCTGTGAGAGTTTAAGTGTACAGATGTGGCCAGTCTGTCCAGTTTTTGGCTTCTGAGCTAGAGCTGCCCACTATCGCATCCCACTTCAAGGGGCTTTGCTCTTTAGCAGAGCTGGAGCAGCATCCCTGCCTCCAGGCTGGGGACTATGGGTTGCCTCCGGTGTAACGTAAGCAAGCTGGTGAGGAAAACAGCCTTTGCTGTACCGTTTGGAAAAGGGTAGTTTTTCTTTCTCACATGTTCTCCACGAGCCAGAGAACCTTGTGTTTTATATGAACTGGTTGCCTTGAGGTAAAGGGGCTTTGCTAATATGAAAAGATCAGCAAACCCTGTCGGCCTTTCCCCAAGAATAAATTAAAACTAAAACCAGCAGCCCCTCAAAACTTAGTAAGAAGTTAAGCTAATAATATATCTCTGTGTTAACATGCCCATAAATTCCCTTGGAGTGGGAGGCTGGGAAAAATGCCAAAATAAGTAAATTCCATGCCAGTCACCTGCTTCCCTGCCCAAGGTAGCTAAGCAGAAAGAAGCTGAATGTAACTCTTACGGCTGATTACAATCAGATACCTGAACTTTGAAGTGACCTACATTACCTCCTGGGTCACGGTAGTGGGATGGTATAGCGCTTTGAGCCTCCTAAGCAAGTAGAGTCTTGGAGTCCAGGGTCTGGTAGTTGCTTCTTCAATTAGAGAAGGTTCTGAACTTTGTTTCTGTTCCACACTACCTGTTGTCAAGCGTTGTCTTTAAAAAAAATAAAACCAAAAAAATCTTTCTGAAGCAAGTCTTTCCGAGGAAGCCAGTGTTGGTCCATTTCTGGTCCAGCCAGTCCTGCCCCAGCTCACACGCAAGGCTTTGCAGTGCTGGTCATTAAGTAAGGGTTTTGAATCTTGACTCGGACACCTAAGTGTAGAAGTCTGCACGTGGGCTGAGTGTCTAATGCCCCTTTCAACCAATGCAGTCTAGTCAAAGCAGGCAATAGGGAGTAGGGGAAGTTTCAGACTAACACAGAAACAAGCTAAAAGCAGCATCCCACTCCAGCCATTCCACACTGTGGCTATGAGCAGAAGGCTTCCTGCAGGAAGGGAAGCATGAACATCCTCCTGTACTGTGAGTTCAGGTGAAGGTATTCGGCCAGGATTACAGCGGGAAGTATGAGATGTGCAAAGCAGTTGAGTCATAGTAATTTGGTAATGCAGAGGGGGAATTAATTTTACTTTTTTACTTCTAAAAATGGGAGGTGGATAGAAGGAAGAAAAAAATAAAATATGACCTTACTACTTGAAAAAAAGCCAGGAAATACATAGAAGAAAGATTCACTATGTATTCAGAGAAATTAAAGCTTCTTAAAAAATAAAAAAATAAATCCTCATTCTCCCGTTTTCAGAGATGATTCTGCCAGTGGTGTTCCTGTGTCTCACAGCTGTGCTGCCTTTGTCTGCTGGAGAGGTAGGATCCACACTCTGCTTAGAAAATTTGGATGGGACCTAAGGCACTTGTGGTCTGACTCAATATGGCTTTTCCGATACACATAGATCATATGCAGAAAGAGTCTGATTAGACATCTAGGAACTGAAAAGCATTTATCCTTGAGGTCTGTTTAATTTCAAAGCAGCAGACTGGTTCCACACTAAACCGTCTATAGACTCAGTGTTACTTATGAGTCAGAGATAACTATATTTTCCAGAAGCTCCCATACACAGATCCAGTAATCTGGATCTCCCAAAGATCCATCCCTCTTCCCATTAATTCCCCACAGTTTTGCAGGCAGCACTTCCTAACTCTCTCCCTTTCTCATCCTACAGGTCCTGAGCTATGTGCCTCTCCCTTTGCTCACAGTCCCATCCTCTCAGCATGTATCATTGATTTCCCTCAAACAGCTAAACAAACTAACATACTCAATGCACACTTAGAGTGGTTCCTCCCAATCCATACTTATTCTGAAGTTTGAAGTTTTCTACTTCTACTTCAGAAGCACTAAAGACTTGACTACATTTCCCTCTAATTCTTCATTTTCTGCCCTCCATGCTGCAGTCTAGAAGACTAGTGAGAATTGTTGTAAAGAGGAGGCTGAGTTTTTCACGCGACTATTTTTCAATTAGAAAACACATGTAAAGTTTGAAAAATGCTATCAGTTACGGCAGGAGTGGAAGAAAATCTATGGCATGAAAAACATAGGCACATTTTTTGGTTTAGTGGGATGTCCTGTTGGAGTATCACAAGAGGTCTGTGATGATCCTGAGATTAAACAACAGTTTTCTTCAATAAAAAAACATTGATAGGCATGTTCAAAATACAGAAGAAGGGGAACGCATCATAAGCACATTCATGTCTTCAGCTGATTTTTAGATCCTGTTTCCTCAAAACCTCATGAAGGAAATTATAATAATAGTAAAATAAGTCTGATTCAGTTGCCTAAATTTAAGTCTAAATTTAAGAGGAACGTGAGGCATTCCAGGATATCTAAGCCATTCACAGAGGGTTGGTAGGTATGTTGCAGGAACCAGTGTTATTATCATTAAGCCCTACACACTGAAAGTACTACTCCACATGGAAGCAGCCCTAGAGATACTTAGGAGACAAAGTACTTCCTCCATCACAAGGATCATGTCCTTGGCTGATATTAGTATTTTCGTATTTTAATGTTTCCTAGACAGGATACAGGATCTAGTTACATTCAAATAAAAAAGAAATATAACATGTTCTTTCAATTTAGGAACCTGTTGGTTTTGATGCTCTGTCAACCAGCAAAGCAGATCAGAGAAAGCTGATTGTTGACAGACATAATACCCTCAGGAGAGGAGTAAAACCAACTGCCAGCAACATGTTGAAGATGGTAAGTGACGTGCTGTAAATCTGTATTTAGTGGGTAATGGACTCTATGAGAGATACAGCACTGTATGCAAGGTCACATTCTTTTATTTAGTCACAAATTCACTCTCCAGACCTTTCCTAAGGATTGAGCATGGCCAGCACCAAGAGAAACATAAAGTTGGGCAGGTAGAAAAAAAAGTCTGGAAAATTTTGTGATGATATGAACAATAATATCTCTTTCTTTTTGAAGAAAAAGAAAAGGAAAAGGACAAGCCATGGCATTTTTCATTTCCTTCTGATGCATTCTTCATCAGTCTTCACAGTTTTTATTCTCCTGGGTGCATCGTAACTTTGCTCCTACCTTCTCTACCCCTCAAAAAAGGGGAAGAAAAGGATTCTGCATATGATTTCTTCTGATTTGAAGCATAATTTTCAAATGTTTTTCCTTAATGAGGGGTTATTGATTGGTATGTGTCTGAATGACTAATAATTTCTTTTTTTCATTAAGGAATGGTGTCCTCTGGCTGCAAAAAATGCCCAAAAATGGGCCAATCAATGTAGTTTAAGTCACAGTCCTTCTTACATGAGGAGAACCAGTAAGTGAAGCACGAGTGCTAACTGAATAATGTCATACATGTTATCGATGTGACCAGCTTGTTTTTGGGGATTTGTTTTGTTTCGTTTTTTATTTTGAGATGCTACTTATATTCAATGTGATTTTCTTGGTGCATGGGACAAAGGTGAAATTCTAGATATAAATCTGGCCAGTAAGTGAGAAAAATTCAATCTCGTTCTCATCCCAATTGCATCAGTTTAAAATAGGTATATCCCATTTTCTTCAGTAGGTAAAAAAAAAAAAACATGGTGAGAAAACATATTCTCTCAAAATATCCATCAGAAAAAAGAGAAGCTAGATCCAGTTTATTGCAGAAACCAGCTTGCCTGTGATGGATGAAACTGTCTGGGAAGGAAGGGTCAAAGGGTGAAGGTCCAAAACTGGCTGGTGGTGCCATTATATATTTATATAATTTCTAAGGCAAGACTCATATTTTTAAAATCCCCTGGCAACTTGCAACCAATAACTATCTTGGAGGGTGATATAAACACCTCAGTCCTTGGATATTGAAGTGGCAGCTATACTATGTTAACAACAGCCGTTGTCAGTGCCCAGTGTGGTGTTGACTGACTTATGTCTGCTCTGTAAGACGTCCTTCAGTCCCCACACTTTTTGTCTAAAAACCAAATCCTCTGGTTCTTGCGAAGGTGAATTCCAGATGAGAATGAATATGAATGCAGTAGGGTTGAACCTGAATAAAAACAGTAGGTGAAGGCAGTGTGGACACCTTCTTATGTACCAGAAGTAAGCTTTGAATTATTGGGATTTTCCAAAGATTACTGAGCTGTGATCTGAACAGTGACAAGGTTGTTAACTTTCAAATAGAAAAATTACAGTCATGGATCTGTAGTGCACATGCGCAGATGCATCTACAGACATGCAGAAGGTCTGCCAACAACCAAATTACCAGCCAAACATGCTGGCCATACTGCAAACTGGACAAGTGAGAACCTCAGTACTGACAAAAGGTGATGTCACTGAACTGGAAAAAAAACCCCACCCTGCTGTCCCATCTGGGCTGAGAACTTCCATGGAAATCATACCACCTTTTGCTGCCTTTTCTCACATGTGTATGTTTTATGCATTTCTCAGCACCTTTCTCTTTTCAGCTGTACAATGTGGTGAAAATCTCTTCATGTCATCTGCCCCTTTCTCATGGATAGATGCTATTCAGGCCTGGTACAATGAGGAGAAAGATTTCAAATATGGAATCGGAGCAAAAACAGAAGGTGCTGTGATTGGCCATTACACTCAGGTAGATGCAACTTTTTTATATTTCAGACAGAATAAATAACACATTAGCTAAGAAACTTTTATCTTCTTATTGTCTTTAAAGGGAATAAGTACAATGGAGACATGAGAGTTATTCTGACTAAACAAGATGAAAACTTGCAAAGTAACAGAATTAAAATAATAAGCTAAGTGTCTTTATGGAGTAAAGAATCTGGTATTTCAAAACTTCAGGAAGAAAAAAAGGGAAGGAACTTATTTGTTTAACATTTGAAAATTGCTCAGACACTGGAAGAGGGTTATTAAAGTATCAGGAAGGAAATATAAATAGGTTTGTTACAGTCTACAGATTTCCATTGACTCAGAGAGTTTTCAGATGGACAATGGCTTATGATAATCTCCTCTGTTCATCTGCATGAAACACAGGATACAAAATTTTACATCATGACTCTTACATCTTCTTCAACAGTTTTAACTGAATGAAAACATATATAATTGGGACAGTTTAACTCAAAGGTTTTATGTTTATGTGTGATAAATTATTATCTTTATATCCTGAATGTTCTTTGGTTCAGGGGTGAAAGCAGGGAAAAAATGTTTTTCCAGCAAGGTGGGACTTGGTTGCGAATGTTTCTGTAATGCATATTGTACTTAAATTATCTTCAAATGTATATTTTTCATTCTCCCATGATTTTTATTCTTATACCTACAGATGGTTTGGTACAATTCTTATCAAATAGGATGTGCTGTGGCTTTCTGTCCCAACAGTAAATACAAATACTTTTATGTCTGCCAGTACTGCCCCACGTACGTATTGATTCAGATTCTGGAACTTCTTATTACATTATCAAAATTAGTTGGGAGATGGTGACATTTGTAACAGGGTGCATTATCCATAGCTGAGGAACAGATTTGAAGAGCGTATTAGGGATATGAAATGACAGAACCATTGCCATCAGACAGAAATCATCAAAAGAACTGTGAAACAAGCAAAAGCATAAAACACATAAAACTGACACTGATTTTCAGATTAAATTGAATTTGCCAAAACTTCTAATTTTCATAATAGTAAATCACAAATAAATATTTTCCACATTCTACTTAAAATCTTGATTCAGAAAGGCATATCAATATGTACAGTACAGTGAAGACCAAAATAAAAATCAATAGCAAAAACTTTAGTAGGAATTTTAAAGGCAGAGTGATGGTTTCATAAACTGCTTAAATTAATTTCACATTCACATTGTAATATATTGTAGTGGGTTCACCTTCGCTGACTACCAGTAGCCCACCAAGCCGCTCTTTCACTCCCCTTCCTCAACAAGACAGGGGGAGAAAAATTACGAAAAAAAGCTTGTGAGTCAAGATAAGGACAGGGAGATCACTCACCAGCTACTGTCACAGGGAAAACACACTCATATTGGGGAAATCAACTAAATTTCTTACCAATCAAACAGATTAGGATAACGAGAAATAAAAACAAATCTAAAAAAACCTTCTGCCTACCCCTCTCTTCTTTCCAAGCTCAACTTCACTCCCAATTTCTCTACCTCCTCCCCCCAAGCAGCACAGGGGAATGGGAATGTGGATTGCAGTCAGTCCATGACCCGTTGCCTCTGCCACTCCTTCCTTCTCACACTCTCCTCCTCCTCCAGCATGCGATCGCACTTATGGGAGACAGTCTTTAATAAACTTCAATGTGAGTCCTTCCCACAGGCTGCAGTTCTTCACGAACTGCTCCAGCATGGGTCCTTTCCCGGGGTGTAGTCCTTCAGGAACGGACTTCTCCACTGCAGGTTTCCCACGGGGTCCCAGCCTCCTTCAGACATCCCCCTGCTCCCACATGGGGTCCTCCTGGGGTTGCAGGTGGGGATCTGCTCCAGTGTGGGCCTCCATGGGCTGCCAGGGAATAGCCAGCCTCACCATGGTCTTCGCCACAGGCTGCAGGGGAGTGTCAGCTCCTCCTCCCTCTCCTTTTTCACTGGTCTTTGTGTCTGTTTCCCTCTGTGGTCTTTGTGTTGTTTCTCTCACATATTCTCACTCCTCTCTTCTGGTTGCTGTTGCACAGCAGTTTTTACCCTTTCTTAAATATGTTATCACAGAGGTGCTACCACCATTGCTGGTTGACTCAGCTTTGGGCAGCAGTTGGTCCTACCTGGAGCCAGCTGGCACTGGCTCTGTCTGAAATAGGGGCACCTTCTGGTGCCTTCTCACAGAAGTCACCCCTGCAAATTCCACCCCCCACTCCGCTACTGAAACCAACCTTTACAGATAAACCCAACACGTAAAAATTGTTTGATATACAACCAAAGACTGAGTGTAAATTAGAATATGTATGCATCCATATAATTAAGTTATACTCTCAGATATGTTATAGTGACTTTATAGCTTATGTCGGTAATGTTGATGTTTCAGGGGGAATCTAAAAAGTTCAATTCGGACACCCTACAAAAAAGGACAACCCTGTGGTGATTGCCCTAATGCTTGTGAGAATGGATTATGCAGTAAGTTTTAAGCATTTTGATTGTGACTTGATGCTTTAAGAAAAATACCAATTCATTTATGTAAATGGAAAGGTTTTGAAATTATTTGTTCAAATACAATTCCAAAAACACTATTACAGAACCACACTTCACCATGCTAGACGCTTTACCTAGGTGGAACAATTTGTGGAGCGAAATCAAAGAAGGAGTCTAAGATAAGAGCGGGCAAAAGTTAGACAGTGGTTGGTGTGTATAGGGATGCAGACAACCTCCACTTTATGGATCAAGATATTCATATGGCCTCAATACCTTCATTAAAGACGACAATGTCTGGGTCTCCATATGGAAACTCTCATGAATACTTCCTAGCGTAAGAAGATGCATTGACTGCAACAGAGGTCAAAGATACATTTATACCAATGGTAGCACAAAAATCTGAGCTCCAGAATTCCAGCTGCAGTTTATATCCTTTTCCATACCCAGGAGAGACAATTCTCATCCTTGAAATGCCAGCGAAGGAGAGGATTTCTTTATCTTTTTTTTCTTCTTCCTCCTTTGAACAATGGTAGCTGCTCAAGTAGCAGTAGCAGCACACTTGATAAAAGCAAGTAGCAAATCTGAGTTTTAAGAATTCTAACAGAAAATAAAAATATATGGGCTGAGTCTCATAATGCAAGACTTAATTTAAATCTTCTGTTACCAAATTAACCTAATTCGCATCATAGACTGCAGTATAAAGAAAGCAAGCTTCAAAACACCTTGCAAATTCAGTAAGAAATCTCCTTGAAAGAGCTAATAATTTTGTATGTGTGGTCAAAGGTTTTGGATGTTACTGTGGAGTAAACAGCAACAAAGAGGAAAAAATCACATGGAAAAGAAACATTGATGAAAAATTATTCTGAAAGGAAACACTGTAGGTTTTCATTTCCCATTCATGATTAATTTTGTGTTTCAATTCATTTTCAGCCAAGCTTTGAAAGTTTGAAGATATATATTCCAACTACCTTGGCAAAGTCTCCTGGATACACCCATAGCTTCGTCATGTTCACTGCCCTGCTTCCTGCCAATGTAAAACTGAAATAAAATAACAGGATCAATTTTTCCCTTCCTGGGCATCCATCTCCTCAGTGACTTCTTTCACAGAAACAGATTCCATCTTGCCTCTCCCATATATGCAGAAGGACTAACTTCAGTCCAGTGTCTCACATGAGAAAAAGCTGTAGGAGTATGTATATATTCTATCTGTGTAACGGTCCAAAACATAGTGGAGATCTTAATTAAAATTTGGCATTTGAGTACCAGATACATTTAATGATTAGCATCTTTCGTTTCCCAAAATTTTATCTAAGAAGCATTGTTTAAAGTTCTGTAGTTCCACATGTTTCATATATTCTCAGCATAGATGGATAGTCCTTGGTCACGCAACTAGTCTTAACTTGATCAACATTTTAAACTATTGTACTGTTAACAGGGCCAGAAGATTAAAAAAACCCAAAAAAACAAGATTGCTTGGAATAGTAGTTCTCAAAACGAATTAGATCAGAGCAATTTCCACTAGAACTATTCTGGTTTAGAATCTGTGTCTTTTGCTGACATACATTCTACTGTAAAATGCCTGGTTGGAAAAAAAAAAAAAAAGTGTAGTTCATTTAAATTAATGACCCTGCTTATAGTATAAGATTGCACTGAGCATAAATTCAGGTAACCAAACCCACTTTCTAATGAAGAAGAACTGTCTGAGAAAAGGGTTTAATTCACAGTAATAGATAGCCAAGGGGGAAGGTCTCTGCATTTGGAAACTTTGCTTTTAATAACAAGTAGTGGTGTCTACCAAATTTTTTTTTTAATATCTGCTTTTGCTGTATCAATCATTAAATTACTCATTCTTCACTGATCAATTCATTGTAATTTTCATTCTTTCTTATTACCATGAAATACAGTTCACTAAACTTCCACCAACTTTGTGACTTTATTAGCATCAGGTCTTGAAGGGAGCCTGATTCTTTAGCAGCATAAGCAGAAACAGTTCATGTGGGAAATTGAAGATTTCCAAGTAAAAACAGAAGTCAGGCAAACAACTTTCCTTAAGACTGTCTTTCAGAGAGAAATGACCATTAGCCTAAATAACAGGCAATACCCACTTCTGTGACCTTTGGGAAACAAGTGTTCTGTGCAGTCAACAGTGGGAGTAAATATTATTTTAGTCTCGTCTTACAATGGTTTCACATTCCAGTCCTCTTTTAGTAATGAAGCTACTGTCATAATTAAGATTCCAAGTCCCAGAGTCTTTGGCACAGAATAATTTCAGCACACATTTCTGACTCATTCATTTCAGTGGCAATTTCAACATACACTTCTGACTCATTTATTTTGGTGGCATTTCTTCTAGTATAAAAGATGAACATTAAGTTAAAAGCCTGATTTCACAATTCAAAGTGCTTATTATTTGGCTTTTTGTATTCCTCATTCTTCTCCACCACTTTTTCCCTCCATGGTTTGCTGCTCTCTCATTTGGGTACATCTATCCTAGTAAATTAAGCAATGCCAGGACATAGATGTGAGCACTGGAACATGACTTACTGCACTCTTAAATAATTAGCACAGGTCCAAGTAAGAATTATAACAATGCAATAGCTAAACCAGTGTTGTTAAGAATTATAATAATGCAATAGCTAATCCAGTGTTGTTATCATTAAGGAAATGGGTAGATCCATTAGACCCACTCCTGAAAAAGTTTATTTACTGTGAATAGTGGGTCTAGAAAACTATTCCCTTCCATCATAACCCAGACTACACGAACTGATTTCTCAGTCACTCACAAGAGGAAAGAAGTAGTGTAATGAGGTAAAAATCAGCCCTCATACAAGTCACTCATGAGGACTCAGGGAACTAAAGTTCAAGAAGCCTAATTTAGATATCCAGGAAGGTAATGGGCCAAATTGTTTACCTGTGATTTTGTAATCAGTAGAATATAAAATACCAGCATGGATTAGTCATGAGCTGATCTTGCCAAACCAAACTTTCTTCAATGAGTGCCTCAGACAAGTGGAAGCTGTTCTGGCTTTAGTAACATGTTTGACAAAGCTACAGAAGACATTTGCAAACTAGGGAGATGCGGTTCAGATGAAAGTAATAAAACACGGCACACACATGCTGTTGAACACACACATCCATGATGCTCCTGTGCAAGAGGCAGAGATGGAAGCTTCTGGCAATGCAGTTAGATGTCTGCACAGACGGACAGAACCCACATCCAGAGCTAATTGCACTGTTCTTGTATGTGATGTCCGTGACCTTCCCCAGCCACAAATCACGATCACAGTTGAAGACAGCTTTTGCCAATGTGTGGAAAACCTTCACTGAATGCTTTTCTTTGGCAAAGGAGGGTCAGATCCACGTTCCCATCTGCCACAAGCACACTGAGGGCACTTTCTTGGACAAAAATAAGTTCTATGTTCCTAGATTACTTCCAACAAATGTTAAGAGCCAATTCTGTTCTAAAAAATATGCCAGAATTTTAATCCATTACAGTTTAGTATGAAATGAAAAACTGGTACTTAGGAGAGACAAGATCTGGAGAGCTAATAACAATCAATAGATTGATGATGGTATAAACAACCCTTGGAGCAGGAAACTCAAGATGTCCTGTGCTATGCTACAGAGACATTAATCTGTTCTTGTTCACTTCAAGAATTTTATATTCTTCTTCTCTCCAAAGGAGAGAAATAACCTCTCTTTGAGGGCACCCATACCTTTGATGGGTGGAGCACAGAACATTTTCTTCACTTATCCTACAAAGCATTTAACTTAGTGCTTACAGTACTTTCTTCATAAATGTTGGTTGTACTGCAGACTGGCAATGTATCAGCTCTCCCTTGACACGTTCTCTCACTACAAAGCTAATTCGTAAAAAGTAGACCTCCGGCAACACCTTTATTTCATTTAAGTGTGTTTTGGAAAGAAGATGGCTATGACCACCACTTTGTGTGAGGTCCAGCTACTGGTGTTTCTAGGGCATGAGAAAGGTTTAGTGACTGACTGTGGTACCAAATGATTATGTTGCAACCAGGCAGTGCTGGTAAAAGACTTAAAAGCCATTATAATACATACTTCATAATGTATTGCAAGACAGTGTGCCTTGTCCCTGATAGTTCCCTGTGATCACCAGGGTCCCCATATCAGAGCATGGATCATCCCCACATCCTGTTCCTGGGTCATTTCACCTTTCAAGGTGAAACCCTTGAAATCCTTCCTACCTTTACCAAGGATCCAGAGCAGACAAGGAGCTACCACTGGAAGGCCTGTGGAAAGGGGTCATTTCCCATTCCTCCTTCCCACCTACTTCTGATGGAGCTCCCTGCAGATAGCTGACTGCTATAGGACAGTGCTTGAATTATGTCCTATATCATGGGCCATACTCTGTGGAAAAGTACACAGTATAGAATAGAATAGAATAGAATAGAATAGAATAGAATAGAATAGAATGGAATAGATTAGATTAGAACAGATTAGATTCAGTTGGAAAGGACCTACCTAGTCCAACTACCTGACCACAAATTAGAACTAGTTCCTCTCTAAACTGCAAGAATTCTCTCACTTCTGCAATACTGTAACAGGAACAGCAAACCTTGATAATACGCACAGTTCAGCTAAGACAGTATCCTGTCTCTTGCCATTACTATCCTGGTTTTGTCTGGGATGGAGTTAATTTTCTTTCCAGTGGCTGGTACAGTGCTGCATTTTGGATTTGGTGTGAGAATAACTTCGATAGCACATTGATGTTTTAGTTGGTGCCAAGTAGTGCTTACTCTAAGTCAAGGACTTTTCAGTTTCCCATGCTCTGACAGCGAGAAGGTGCACAAGAAGTTGGGAGGGGACATAGCCAGGACAGCTGACCTGAACTAGCTAAAGGGATATTCCATACCATAGAACGTCATGCCCAGTACATAAACTGGGAGGAGCCAGCCATGCATCAGTTAGCAAGTGGTGAGCGATTGTATGGTGCATCACTAGTTTTAATT